TTAGCATATTTCAGCCAAAAAAAAAAACGTACTCCCCATTTTCTGCTGTATTTCATACCTCAAAAAAAAAAATGAAGGAATATGGGAAAAAGTCAAATCTTTTCAGTTAAACGGAGAAGCCAAAGACACAAAACAATGGCAGCTTGGATCCAGAATTGTCCCCTGGTTGTACAGAGCAATACAAAGCCTAGTCCGGATTTTTCTAACATGATATCAGAGCACAGGCACCGCATCATGGATTCCCCCATCTGCCTTTTCCTCGTTCTCATTTACATGTCACACGTCCACAGTCAGGGCCTGCTTCTAGGTCTAAGCTCAACAGACAGGGTTTTTAGGAGATTCAGTATACCAGTATCTCTGCTTCGCTCATAAAAGATCTGCCTCAGATCCCAGACAGAAGTTCTTCCCTTTCTACAACTTCTTTATATTCTTTAAGGGTGCTACTTAAAGCCATAGGAACGAACCTCTCCCATTTTTTTTTTTAAACACATTTATACCAATAAAATTAGAGTTTATCCAATTTAGATATTTCAGGAGACGGTCAATGCAGCCAAGTGTCAGGGTGAGGGGGAAAAGAAGCGGAGAAGAAGATGTAAGAAGATGAAGAAAATGAAGATTTCGAAGCACAAGGTTTCGGTTATTCTGCCTCCTGGGCAAACACCTCATCAGCAGCATGATATCCTAAAGAAAGCACAGGTCCCAGAGTCAGAAAACCAGCCCCAGATTCTTCATCCTGTCATAACTCCCATGAATTCTTCAACAAAAGATGTAAGAAAGTGAAGAAAATAAAGATTGCGAAGCAGAAGGTTTCAGTTGTTCTGCCTCCTGCCTCATCACCAGTATGATATCCTAAAGAAGGCAAAGGTCCCAGAGTCAGAAAACCAGCGCCAGATTCCTTAACCTGTCATCGCTTCCATGCATTCTTCAATAAGTCACTTTAACTCTTTGAATCTTAGCCCCCGTGTTATACAGAAAATGTGGAGCCCAGTTGATATAAGACTTTCCTCAGGGATGATTTTACCTCCTTATTCCTGAGGCTGTAGATCAAGGGGTTCAGCATGGGAGTGACCAGGTTATTCAGGACCTGAACAGTGGCATCCAGCCAGGGACTTGGGGTGGGCCTTAGGTAGATGAGGGCCACTGGCATGTAGAAAAGTAGAATAGCAATGAGGTGGGCACTGCAGGTGGAGAAGGCGCGACGTCGGCCCTCCGCAGAGCGAATCTGCAGGATGGAGTAGACAATGCGACTGTAGGAGGTGAGGATGAGAAGGAAGCAGCTGAGGGGCATGAGGCCCACACTGATGAACCCCACCATCTCCAGGGCGGAGGTATCTGCACAAGCCAGCTTCAGCATCACTGGGATATCGCAGAAGAAATAGTCCACTTCATTGGGGCCACAGTAGGGCAATTGGAAGGTGAGAGTGGTTAGAAAGGTGGCCTGGATACAGCCAAAAAATGAGGTTCCCAGGGCTAGAATGGCACACACTCTGTGGCTCATAATTATTGTGTAGCGCAGAGGGTAACATATGGCAACAAAGCGGTCGTAGGCCATCACTGTGCACAGGAGACACTCAGTACAGCCCAGTAAATGGTAGAAGAAGAGCTGGGATGCACAGCCTGCGTAGGAAATGGCTCGGCTATTCCCTGAGAGGTAGAAGAGCATCTTGGGGGAACTCACAGAGGGAAAAAATATGTCACACACAGACAGTTTACACAGGAAGAAGTACATGGGAGTATGAAGTCGAGTGGAGGAGACAATTGCCAGTAAAATGAGCAGATTTCCCATAAGGGTGAAGATGTAGAAGGACAAAAACAGGACAAAAAGCATGGTCTCCAGATCCTCTGTGTGTGGGATGCCCAGGAGGATAAACTCGGTCACCACTGAGACATTCCTCATAGTTGTGAGAAAGTCGGACCTTGAAAAGGGACCCAAGACACAAAAGTCTGAACACTGATATCAAATTATCAAGCTTTTTGCTGATAAGTGCTTTCGCTGTGTTTTTAATAAGCAACAACCAGCCTTCTTATGAATGGCACACCTATATAAAAATATCCGGTAATAAGAAATGCTTATTTCAGAGCCACAGTCTACTCAACTTCTGGAAAGAATGTTTGTGGAAACAGATAGTTGTCCTCTACAACAAAATCAGAAGTTTAAATATATATTCAAAACATTCTCATGTTGAGAGAACTTTTTCAGTTGTTTAATTTATGGATTTACTTTCTTTAGGCATATTTATATTTTGAACTCTCACGATACCTTTGAGTAACAAACTCTCACTATTTACTACCTTTTGAAAAATATCAGGAAGAGAAATTGCATTAGAAATCAAAACACTTAGGTTAAATCCTGATTTTGCCATTTATTAGCTATACTAGTTAAAATAATTTACACAACATTTTTCATAGACATAGACTCATCATCTACAAAATGAAAATTATAATTATTATAAAAACATCAACAACAAAAATACCCTGATACCAAAGTATAGTTTACGAAATGTCTGTAAAAATATAGAGCAAAAACATAAATCCTAATGAAAAATGTTCCTTTCTTTTATGTATCTTAAACTTACTTCTTTAAGTGCCTTCCTTCAATGCTGGTATCATTTGCAAATATGTTGTATTAGATAATGTTACCGAATAGATTTAGATCATATCCTCTCCAGATTGCATTTTTCCAGATTTAAGAGGTCTAATAACCCCAACTCTATCAGGAGATGATACTCTGGTTATTCTGGTCCTTTTAACATTTTCTAAGTGGACTTGAGGCAACTCTCTGTTAAGCAAAAGAAATATTAGCAGCAAGAAAAGCATCAAATTCATGTGATGAAGAAAGAAATACAGTGACCCATAGAGCAGAAAGACAAAAACCTTTCATAACTCAAGTAATAATAATAATAATAAATAATAATAAAAGCAGGTTCATGGATACACACATGCCATTTAATGAATCTTTACTATGTTCCAAGGACTGGGCTTAAGACTTTAAAAATATGATTCATTTTTTAAAAAATAACCCTATAGATGGAAACTGTGATTTCCATCTACAGAGCAGGAAACTGAAGCTTACAAAAATTAAGCAAGTTGCCCAGATTTACAGAGCTGGTAAGTGACAGAGCTAAGACTGTCTCATGCCATTGTCCATGCTCTCAGTCATTAGGAAACTGCTCTCTGCCTCTGCTTTTTAAGACAGCCTATTCCACTGCTAGGCAATGACACCCTTCTGGATGGGTTCACATCATCATCTTCTACTACAGCAGGAAAAGTGTTTTTGTCTTACTTCTTCCTGGTCATTTCCAGTCTTGACTTCAGAGCACACCTTAGGAATATCTAATTTAGTTTTAGAAATCAAATAACAGGCTGATCCCATACCTTTGACACTATACCGTAATATCAACTCCAATATAAGAGCTTTTAAGTTTTAAAGCCACATTATTATGGGGATTTCAATTATAAACTGGGGCAAGTGCCACTTAAAAATATATTTAAAGAGAATGACCAAGCCAAAATGAACAATTCACATGCCACCCTAGAACTGAGCAAAGGTAAAGATGGCAAAGAAACAGTGATATTCTGGGGGAGAAATGCTGCTGACAACCTGCTACTTGTTACTAATTCTAGCCAAACCGGAATAGTATCTTTGAGCCATGTAAATTTCTGAGCTCTGGATCATCTCTTCCTGGTCAGCCAAGGCTCTCAGAGGTCTTTGGTCCTTGCCTATGATCAGATATCATGATAATATATGATTATTCAATTCTATTTTATTCTTAGGTCCATTTCAGGGGGAAAAAAAAAAAAAGTCTGCGAGAACTGGGAAGGTCCCTGTGTGTGGACTCGTTAGTGTATGAGGAACAGGCTAACAGTGAGACACGGGCAGCAGTTTAAACACTCACAGTCCACCCGAGAACACAGTCAGGTTTTCCAAAGTGTTTTAGTAAGACCAAATTTACAGAGCTAGTACTGTTTCTCAGTAGAGCACAGAGTCCTCTAGCCAAAGGAGCTTCAGTTCTCCTACTTATAAAGAATTAAGTCTCATAGGGTTTAGATAATCAAGATCTGTACACACTCACTTTCCCTAGATTTGCCCCCTTGGAAGTTTTCTCTGACCTCCTTAAGCCCTACTTTAGACTCACTAATGGCTCTGAGGGAGCAATTAGTTTGTCAACCTAATTCATCATACAGCCATGAAACAATAGGAATGAGATCATCAGGAAGGGATGCTGTAAAGTGGGAAATATCTATGGTCCTCCAAGACTGCATGGTAGATCGAGCTCCAACTCTAACCTCACATCACCTGCAACACTACTCTTCTTTTCATTTTTTTTTTTTATGTCTTTCAAGCCTTTGCTTGTAATACATAATTTATCTCATTGCTTTGGAAAATATCTATACATCCATATGACTATATAGTTATCTCTAATAAATATCAGCATTCAAAACAGAAATCTAATCAGTTAATAATTATTCATTATGTGTAAACTATTATTATGTACCTTTCAAGTCATTATTCTTAAAGAGAATAAAATAAAGAGCTTGTAATCCATCTCGAAAAGAAAAATTATTGGCTAAATAGCTAATATTCAGTTAATAATTCAATGTAAGCACTTACCATGTGCTAAGTATTATGATAAATGTTTAAATTATTACGTTTAATCTCAAAAGGAAACTTTATAAAGTAGGTGACATTATTTGACCAAAAACAAACAAACAAAAAAAAAAAAACTGAAAAACAGATTAAATAACTTGAAGATTACACAAATAGAAACTTTTCAAGCTGAGACTCTTTAATTTCAAGGTCAATGCTTTTAAGCACTATCTTATAAATTCCAGGGTTTTTCTCTCTTTAAATAGAGATAAGATATGGTCTTCAAATGTTTGCAGGGCTGGTAAAGAGACTTGGTAATTGATGTTCCATGTGGTGACTCAGGAATTATGGGCAGATGTGGTAGAAAGACAGGTTTATTTTCAATTTAGATAGAAAGTGTTTGATTACTAGATGTACATCTAAATGTACATCAATAAAATAAGCAACCTTGTGAGGTAGTTACCTCCTTGTCACTGGAAATGTCCAAGAAGGTATAAAGAGAATCATTTTTCAGGTAAGCCACGGAAGATATTCTCAATTTGAATAAATAACTTGATTTAAAGTTCTTACTAATTCTGAAATTATTTGATTTTAGTTATACCGTAAAACTTTTCAGTGACACTGACTTAACACCATAAAAGTGAAACTTTAATGATGATAATTCAACTAAATCTTATGCAAAAGAAATCATGAATATGACCATAGTGATTACTGAAGTAATGATTATAATCTCAAAACTGTTGTAAAAACATTTTTAAAAGAAGAGAAACACATGTCATAGAGGGAGTCAAGATGCCACTAAGGCAGAGTCCCACAAATGGGAATGGCCTGCTGGGATGTCTTAGTGAAAAGACCACAGCTTTAAAAAAACAGTTATTGTACATTTGCTATATACTAAAACTGTGCTGAGTGCTCTATGTGTGTTGTCTCTTGATTCTCACTAGAAATCTATTAGGCAGATGGTATTATTTTCCTCATTTTTAGTGAAGTCCCAATGAATTTAAACAACTTAACTGAAGTAATAGAGTTGATTAAAGATAGAGCGATATCTCAAATCTGAGATAACATGACTCCTCCCTTTGAGTCACAAAAATAAGATAACTAATTCTGATTTTTAAATACTCTTTCATAACTAAGATCACCTTACATTTGCGGTTGTTCAAGTTGTCCAATGCACTTTTTACGTTGTTTTAATTAATTCTCTCAAGCACCACATAAGGTGGTTCTTATTAACCCCATTGTACGAATAAGGACATTGGAACTCAGAGCAATTGTGACTTTTCTAAAGTTAGACAGTAGAAGAGCTTGGGCATTCCCAACCTTAGTTCTCTTTCCACTACATCATCACTGCTTCCCAAAATGACTCCATACAGAAAACAGCTGTCCCTGAATGAAAGGAAAATTATTAATAGATTCATGTCAGAGATTTGAAGGACTGTTATATATATCCTTAGGTCATTATCGTATTTATCTTGTGTTCCCTGACAAGATTATGGCCTTAAACTGGAGAGAGAGAGAGACAGAGAGAGAGACAGAGACAGAGAGAGAGTTGTTCAGCTCAGTCCTGTTTCATAGAAAATGAGTCCCAGGAAGCTCAAGCTCTTTTTCTATGGTATACTTGTAGAAAAATTTGCCTTATACTTGGATCATCCTTGTTTTAATCAGAGAGGACGACAGCCCGCTCATTAAACTCCTTTTTCTCAACTCCAGGAATTTGTGGTAGAACGAGCTCCAATTCTAGCCTTAGATCACTTGCAATGCTGCTCCTTTTTATGGTTTCCTCTTACACCTTCAAGTCTTTGCTCGTGATATTCCAGCAACATCTGGTTTCTCAGATAATTATTCGGCAAAACTTTCTGGCTATAAGTAGCAAAACTAAGTCTAGGCACTCTTAGTTCAATGACAGATACTTCATTGTTTGTTGGCAGGGTTGGGGTCTCAGGGGAATGGGCAAGCAAAAGTTTCATTTTTATCTGTAAAAACTCAGTGGGGGAGAATTGGACTGTGAGACAGAAATGAAAGAAAGTAGAACGGTTGCTTAGCGGGGGATAAATTTCTTAAGCTGTTATTTTCCTTCTTTTCTTTTTATTTTTTTCTGATAGGAATATCTTGTCTTCCTGACAATTTAATGGTGTTTTAGGAAGAGGTGTGGTGGAAATAAAGTAATAAATATAAGAAGGAAACATATTTTTTAGGGAATGAGACTGGCCTCAGTCTGAACGGGAGAATCTTGAGGCAGTGCTGTCTGCCATCCTTCTTGTAGCCAACTGCAGCAGCCAGGAAATAACTGCAGGGTGAGGAAAACCAATGAGACATGAGAGCAGCTTCCCTCCTGGGCTCCCTGCCCAGACCATCGGTTCCTGAAAACAGATGGTGCTTTATATTTTCTCAAAACATAAAGCACTAGTCCTGAAACTGGGCTTAAATAAACGTGCTTGTTAATTATGACCCTTGTTTAGATTTGGGGAATTACAGTGGTACATTCATAGAACGAGAGCTCAAACTGAAAATCATACTACTTTAAAACTGTAGTTGATCTCTGCGTCTACGAGTCTGTTTCTGTTTTGTTTGTTCGTTTATTTTGTTCTTTAGACTCCACATAAGTGAAACCATATGGTACGGTGCTAGGTGGATATAAGACTTATCGGAGGAATCACTTTATAAATTATATGTCTAACCACTATGCTGTACATCTGAAACTAATATTGAATGTCGACTGTAATTGAAAACTGCAGTTGATTCTGCATTATAAAAAAAGACTGTTTTATTGTTGTTGTTTTGTTTTTTGCTTTAGAAGTCTCTAAGCCCTAGCCTAGTCTGGAAGCTGAAGGGTGAGAAAAAGGGGAAGTGAACATAAGTGAGTAATACATGTTCTACATAATAAAGGGTCATTTTTTTTTCTGGGCAGAAGGTAGTTCTACACATTTCATGTCTCTTCTGCCATTACATCTACATGGCAGACTTGGATATAATCGTCTTTCATAAAAAGGCTAAGCCTTAACTTATCCAATTTTAATGTGCATATGAATTCCCTGGAGATCTTTGTTAAAAGGAAGACTTTGATACAACAGATTTTGCGCTTGCCTAAAAGTCTGCATTTGTAACAAGCTTCCAGGCGATGCCTCCACAGGTCACATTCAGCCATGAACAAACTTGGAAGAAAGTCCTGGGAGACCAGTCTCCACTATGCATCTCAGGCAAATGCCAGTTCACTTCCTAATGCCAGTTCACTTGTAAGTTTAATGGAACTCAGGTCTAGGCCATCCACCACCTTACTGAACAGATATTGATGTCCTGCTCAGAATTCTTAAATATTCAAGGTGAAAGTGATAACAGAGGTCTAATTTAATCATTTAGTTTTACGGATGGGGATACTAAGCTCTTAAGGGGTTAAATTGTTTATTATTACTTAACTATTTAAGTGTATGGTCAGGATTCTAATACTTTTCTGCCCAGAGTCCTTTACTTGCTTCATGTAAGACAGGAAATCAGCCTACAACACAAGATATGGGGACAGGACATAGAATGAACACTGGAAGCATCAGAAAAGTTGGAAGGGAAAATAAAAGATAATAAAAACAATGCAGGTTCAATGAAAAAATCTATAAAAGATCGACACAACAAAGTGCAGAGTAGAGAGAGTCACTTTAATATGGATACATCAGTATTTTAGGGGACAACACAGCAAATAGGGTCATTTCCACTAGGATAGAGTATTTGGGACGTAAGGGTTGGAAACAATCAAAGGGTGCTCCTTCTTTTCTCATGGGGTGAGTGAATCAGGTTAAGGTCTCAGGCAAAGCTGCCTTTACAACCACTTTTTCCTTTATTATACTGGATCACAGCCTGAATTAGAGGCCTCACGGGTTCAGGCTAGGACTAAGGATTCCATCAACACCCTTTTACTAAGATGTTTCCTGATAAAGGAGAAAGATCTGACTTCAATAGTTATGACTCAACCCAAGTCCCTTAGGCAGTGAGAAGGCATGCAGCATGGGCTAGCAAATCCCAAGCAGAATCAATCAAGAAGGTCCCCAACAGTGCCAACGCTCATAGTGGATCCCTTGAGTCTCTTTGTCGTCTGGAGGTTATATCTATCCCAATGTTGGCTTTCAACCTCCCCTTTGTCCTACTTTAAGAATAGAAAACTGTATAGCTCACCAGCCTGGTTCTCATAAGTATATAAAATCAAAAGCAAATAGAAAACAAATAATGCAGAGAATTCTCTAATTCAGGCATTCCCTAACATCAACGCAGCAACCTTTAATCTGGAATTCATGTCACTTGTTTTTCATGGTGACACTCTAGAAAACTTGGGAGGAACTTTACTACTGCCTAAGAATCCTTTGAACTCCAAGGAAGGGAACAGGTTCTGAGACTACTGACACTTGACTGAGGGCACATGCGGGGAAAGGAAAATCCTATCCAAAGGGAACCTGGAACACAGAGGCAAGGTGGGCGGGCAGCCTTTACTTTTACGACAAGAAATCGATAGGATAGGCATAAAATACAACACATTACAGCAGAAGAAGGGCTAAAGGAAAGGTCAGTATCATAGAAGATGCACTTGTTTTTCGGGATGGTATCCTCAGAGGGCAAAGATGGCAGGATCCTCAGATGATTTCAGGAAATTAATCGCAGCTTTCATAAGCACACGCATGACGGAGCCTGTTAGGAGGGGAAAACAAGAATTAGAGCTGAAGGACAGCAATGAGAGTAAATACTTCTCTCTCAGTCTCCCCTAAACCTCCCTGATTATCTCCCCCACAAGTTCTGGTTTTATCTTTCTTCAATACCCCTGGCTTTCCCCTTCACATTGCCCAAATTCCCTTTAATCTTCTCTGGTCCCAGAAATACTCAGCAGCAGTGAGATAATAAACAATCAAGGAGTAAGTGCCCCAAGTCCAGTCTCACACTCAGTGTGGTACTGCCAGAGTAAGGAGAATAAATGCCACCTCATGTCCTTCACACAATTCACACTCCCCATCCATGTCCCTTTCCCTCTTTACACACCTCCCCATCTCCCCCAATTTAAGACTGCACCCTCATCCTGCCAAGAAAAGAAAACTAGCTGGAAGACCAGAAAAGGTCTGGACCATGATGGTCGGAGGAGAGGAGTATGGGGTTTCTCTCTTGGCCATCCTCTCTCAGGCCTGGTGGCTCAGTGTCTGGGAAGATGTCTCACTTCCTAAGGAGAGAAGGCAGTGGGGTCCTAGAATTGTGCTCCTACCTGCATGCATGTGAATCCAGGACACAGCTTTCCTTTCCAGAAGTTCCCACTCACACTTCATGTCTTTACCATTGGCATGGAGCCAGAGCACCGCCAGGACTGTGGCCCAGCCTGAGGAATCCGCATTCTGTACAACAGACAGAGAGACTTCCCTGAAGCCTTCAAGTTGGAGCAAGAAACCCTTCAAGGAAATGTAAAAAGCTCCACTCCCTCCTCACTTACTGTGCCCCAAACTACTACTAAATGGGATTACCTGGTCTCTTTACCTCATTTATGACTTGCAAGGCATAATGCCAGGCCCTAAACCTCAGGGCAACAATTCATTTAGTCTTAGGGTAGAAAGGTCTTAAATTTTAAATCCAGTGTAACCATCAGGACAGTGCTTGAAACTCCTAAAATACTCCCAATAAGGATTACCCAGCTGTGATAAAAGACACACATGCACAACTGCTTTATGGTTTATAAAGTATCTCTATGTTTTATTTGAACCCTCACCTAAACAACTCAAAAAAATGAAAAATTATCAATGACGGTTTTAAGAGAGAAAATTGATTCATACAAAACTGAAATGATTTTCCCAAAGTTAGCCTTCTAGCAAATGAAAGAGCTGGGACTGGAGGCCAAATATTCTGATTCAAGTCATATTGCTCTTATTGCTCAATAGAAAGTCTCAGCCACAGAACAGAAAATGGGCTCCCTGAGTGTTCACTCACGGCTCCCAACTCCAGTTTTTAGAAACAACAGGTCAAGAGAAATTCCTCTTTCATAACATGACCTTCAAAATTAAAAAAAAAAAAAAAAAATCATTTCCTCTGAATAGTCTTCTTTCAGATCAAAATTCTCAGTTCCTTTAATTCTTCCTTAAGAGGGCTGCTTATGTCAAAACAGTAAGAATCCCCATGTTTGTTCTCCTAGTCTAGAAACAAACATCACAGTGATTTCTGAAATTTATCTCCTTAAACGGTCACATCTGGTGGCAAACGTACTTTTAAAACATTATGATCCCAGCCCCCAAAATATATAACTTTTCTGACAATCCTATTGCCCTCCACTAATTGTGTTTCAAATATGCTGATTCATATTAAGTTTGTGGTCATCTGAAATCTCTGACTTCCATGTGCAACAGCTCTTAAGTCATTCTGCTTCTATTCTCTACTTGCATAGTTGACAATTTAGAAGGAAAACAGTATTTTTATTCCTACTAATTTTTTCAGAGAAAATTTCAAGTCATTGTTCGAGGTTTTTTGGGATCCGATTTTCTTGTCTAATGCTTTATCTCCAAGTTTTGTCATATACAAATAAGAAAGCACTGGTCCACATTTTTGTTTAAACATTCATTGAAAAGATGGACCTCCAGAGAATTCAGAGTCTAGTGAGTCCAGAAATCTGTTTTGAGTTTGAATCAATTCAATATTCAGTGCTGTGGATTTTGAGCTAGTTTTTACTCCGTCCATATGTTCATCATTAAGAAAAACTCAAATTCCTTACTAAAATTCAGACATACCAGAGCTCTGGATTCCCTTGATTTATTGGCCCAGTTACCACGTTAAAGAAGAAAATGTTAGTCTGACATATCTTATTCTTAATAAAATCAAGTTAGAATTTTATGATCTTTATATTTCCTTTTAATTGTTTATAATTATTATCTTTCTTATGTTAATAATTTATTATCTTATTTGTTCTAGAACAGTATTTTTTCAATAGAAATACAGTGCTAGACACACATAATTTTAATTGCCCCACTAGCTACATGTAAAAATAAAGTAAAATTATTTTATTAACCTAATGTATTTTATTTAACCTAATATAGTCAAAGTATCATTTTAACATAAAATCAGTATAAAAATAATTGTTGATGAAATAATTTATATCCTTTTTCATATTAAGTCTTTAAAATCAGTATATATTTCACAATTATAGGACACCTCAATTTAATTAAAAATTTAGATCCTCATTTGCATTAGCCATATTTTAAGATCTCAATAGCCACATGTGACTAGTAAATACTGTATCGGATGGTGTAGTTATAGGACAGCTGAAGTTTATTTAATCACCTTTCACATTTTGTATATTCAGAATGACACCTGACCTTCGGACTTCTGGCATCTGTCTTATATTTACCAATATCTCAGGTTAGAAGATTTAGTACACTGCGTTGAAATTCTGGAAGTTAATTTGTCCTCATCAGCAGGCTTGAACACATTTGAAGTAACTAGGTCATCTCTATTAATACTTCACCTATCCTTACATCAGTAAAATTTTGCTAATTTCTGGACCACTTCCTTTAGTAGGAAGAGGAGCGATAATGTGAGTTCTGAAGACCGATAGTTCAAGAATTGAATCCAGCTCTGCCTCCACTGGTTAGGTCAACTCAGACACATCATTATACTTCTCTAGACTTTAGTTTCTTCATCTGTAAACAATGTGAATAGGATTTATCTCATTTAATCATTGTGATGAATAAATAAGATCATGAATGTTAAGTGCTTAGCACAGTGCCTGGCACAGAGTAACTGCTAAATAAACATTAGTTATTATAATTAAAATGGCCAGCAGGGAATGTAATCCAAGTGAAAGAGGATTTTTGAGTTCCCTCTGGCGCCCATCAACTCAAAACCATCAACTCCTACTAGCCAGACTATTAGTTCCTTGTTCCTTCTGCTCTATCCTACCCAGAAAAACCTTCAACCTCTATTTATTAGAGGTTAATTTAGTCTATAGCCTCTATATTCCCTTTCCTCTGGTGAGTCATAATTCACCCCAATTCTCTTTACTGACCCCAACCTCTCAAAAACATACATACTCCTGTTTCTTCTCTGAATCTCACCTTGATAGGGAGTGCAGTCCGTATCTCTTCCAAACTCACACCTAGGACCATGGCCAGACCTTCGTTCAGATCCCAGGAACCATCTGCCTTTTGGAGGGAAATCAGCTGTACAAGATGATTATCTCCAAAGACTTTGGGGGAGAAAAAAAGAAAGAGGATGAGAAAGCAAGAAGCTCCGGGCCCCCGAGCATCCCTGATGAGAGAGGCCCGAATCCAGAGACAGGCTGCAGCCAGAGTGCAGAGCTGAGCGGATCCTACCAAGATCCCCATTTCGGTCCTTCCCCCGGGAGACACGCATTTTCTCTGTGACAGTGTAAGCCACCCGAGTGCTGTACTGGTACCAGGGGAGCTGCACTTAAAAATTCAACAATAATGTAAATATATATGCCTTACTGTTAAAATGTACAGCTGAAACATCATATTTCATTAACCAATGTCACCATAATAAACAAACAAACAAATAAATAAAACAATTCAATAACAAGAGCAAGATACGGTACTAAAGAACCCACATGATAGTGCTGTTTAAAGTCTTAGCCAGTCCTATTTAAATGACCCTTAAAACTTTTAAGTATGTTAAAAATTTGTGGACAAATAAGAGCTCGAATTTTAATTATCAAAAATGTCAAAAGAAAGCAGATATAAAGGAAGCCATCAGCAGTCTATCTCAAAGAGTAGTGTGGTGTCTAATCCTGACAGTATAAAAATAGCTTAAAGACAACATAATTTTCATAGAAAGTATCTTACATCTGGATATCTAGCGTATGGGATGACATACTTAGAGCGATTTAGAAATTGTAGGCAAGAAATATTGTAACTAGAACAACAGTTCTACTCTACAGGAAAAAAAACTCTAAGGCTCTGAATCTCAAGAGTCTGAGTTTGAATCTCAGCTCTACTAACACTTAAAATGTACCTGTTATTTAACCAATGGAGATCTCGGCTTCCTCTATAAATTGGAGACAATTATGTCTGATGCATAAGAAAGTGTGTAAAGTACCTAGAAGGGCCATAATTTGCTCCCTACAAATAGTAGTTGCCAATGAATTCACAAAAATCAGCAGCAAAAACTTTGCTGGGTAATTTTTCTTTCTACTTTAGTAAGAGGTTCCATAAAAGAGAGAGCTAGAGTGGGGATATTCCAAGTTACTGAGTATTAGGACAGCATTGGAAACCAACACAAACTGAGAACCTACTCTGTGGATTACATTAAGAAACTTCTCATGACAACCCTAGGAGGTGAATAGTTGCGCAGTTGAGGGAACTAAGGCTCTGAGAAGTGAACCGATTTGCTTAAAACCCCACAGTAATTGGGAGTCCAGAGATCTAAATTCATCTTAGACCTCAAAGCCCTCTCTTTAATTAGCAGCCTGAGGAGAATGAATAAGTAGACGGTAAGTGACAAAGAAAATGTCTAAACAATTAAACAGTTGTACACTATAAACTCTTTCTACAAAAATTGGAGAGACTAGAAAGAGTTGCCTTTAAGCCAATTTTAGTAGAAAAGGCACCTCTTAGTGGTAAAATGTACTTTGACTCAATTTGTCATGCACATGAGAAGCTCAGCTGCTTGGAACACAAGGCAATGACCAGAGAACATCCTTTGGTGAAAGAGAGAAAGTCATTAGACAGCATGGGGAAGGTCTGCTTAAACCCAACTTGTAAAAGAATGACCAGTGCAGCAGGAGCCCAACCAGGGTGGCAGCTGAATTCTGCAGGAGGAGGGCCCCAGCCTGCAGGCAAGGTGTGTGAGCCCAGATGGCAAAGGGGTTAGTTTAACTAGGGCTCACCCCACACTCCACTGGGGTAGGCTCCAGGGTCCTACCTATAGACTATCGGAGATGGGCCGATCCTACCAAATATGGAGACTGGACAAATTTCACCCTCCACCTGACACTTTTCAAACAGATTACCTCCGGGTAGAGAAAGCCACAAGAGGGCAGAGCGTTGAAGATTAGTTCTTCAGTCCCCATAGATCAGAGAAGAGAACTGAGGCCCATCTCACCTGTATGGTGAGTTTCCAAGTTGGTCCTGTTGGTGGAAGAATGAGCCCTTTCCATCTCTGGACAGGTCTCCATGAGAGACATGCATTTCTTCTTTGGTCTATCACCAAAAGCTTGGTGTTTGTCTAGTCCTACATGTGTGACAGACAAATATTGGTGAGAAAAAGTCCCTGGAAAGATGCTCACCTAGAGAGTACAGTTCCTTGCTAATGGTGGACTTATGGGGATCGTAAGTATTCTGCTGGTATGGCACGCTTGGGTAGTATGTGTTCCTTATGAGCCGAGGTGCAGGAGGACGGTAGGAGGACGAGGCCTTTGCAGGAGCTGGAAAACATCAGTACAGACATCAACACTGAGGCACCCTCTGCTCTCCGCCATAGGCAAACGGCTCTGATCCTTTGAGACACACACGCTCCAATACATGTCAGCCTTAGTCACCATCTTTATTGCGCATTTTTTCTTCTCCCACGAGTTCTACTCCTGCACACAACCTCACCCTTTGAGCACTTTCCACTGTGTCCTCCTGATATATGACAATGATCTTTCCTGCATCTTTAGTTTCACTATAGGAGGCTTCTTCCAACTATCTATGTTAACTTAAAACTAGTTTTTCCTTCTAAAAAACACCTTTTTCTCTCCCCTCTCAAATGGTGGTTGCTCAAGGTATCATACCCCAAGTACCCAGATTTGAGAGACAGGGTTGGCAACTGCTTCAGTCCCAATTGCCACCTCCCTGTCATTACTCCTCTACCCTCACCAGGATTACCTTCTCATATCCTAACTGCTGTCGACCTACAACCTCTTTGTCACTTCAATCAGTCACTGAAGGATTAAAAACTAGATCAAAACTTCCACTCATTGCAGGCCTGCCATCATCTTGAGATATTAAGTACCCAGGCAGATAACCTATCCAATACCCTAATGCAAAGCTTCTTATCTCCCTTAAATTAAATGGCTCTTGCCTCCATTCTACTCCAAGCCTGGATGTTGTTATAAAGCAGAATTGTTCTACCTGTAAAAAATTAAACTGAAAAAAAAAAAATCTACTTAAAAAATACAGTGTCCACTTTTTCCAGCTTTCTAACTCAGAGATTCCTATTTTACCTGGTCTTTGACCTCATCTGGACTTCTAAATCTTTGTCTCCTCTGTTTTTTCTTATATTGAAACTTCCTTCGATCTTTACTCTCTTTTCCATTTAGCCTAAGTCTCTGGTCCAACACTTTATCGCTCTCTTATCAATATCTTCAATTCCATGTCCCTAATTGCCTTTTCAGCACATCTACCTGATAAAACCAGGTACCTGATAAAACCCAACCTTGAAGGTAAGACAACACTTCACTCTCTTCATTCTTACATCAAAGCTGCTGAGTATTGCTGAAACGAATCACATAAACTGATTCCTTTTAGTAGTTTGGTGCCACTAAAAAAGTCAAGGTATCGAAACTAAACTGGACCCTCAACACTCCTTGACAAATGTTCTATTTCTCCCTGAGTATTTCGCTCTCCAATTTTCCACAGGATTATTTCAAACCCTTTCCTCAAATTCTGTTCTACCACTCTAATATATACATTACCTAATCTTGCTGTCTCTTTCACTAAAACTATAGAAAAACTATCAAACAGAAACTCTGAAAAGATGCCTCTCAGCCTATGAACTAAAATCTAATCCCATCACCTTCTCTCCATTTCCTGGCAATAAGGAAAGAAGGTCCTAATACTTGTCCTATTCAAAGTTAACCCCACCACTGCTGTTTTAGATCACATCCTCTCTCACTTCCTCAAACTCCTTTATCAATTAGCTAACCTTAGTACTCCCCCCAACATTGTCAATCCTCTCTACTGGCACTTTCCTATTGGTATTACAACACCCTTAAATCTCTCTCATTCTGAAAATTTAAAGAGATATAATACACAGAAAACCATCTCAACTCTACAATTTCTTCTATAGATAGCACTCTATTCCTTTCCCTTTTCGACATTTATAAAAAGTGTCTCTGCGAGCTGCCCCTCATTTCCTGCCTCTCATTTGTTCTTTAACAATGCCTAATATAGATTGTTTCCTAATCTAAGCCAGTGGAATTGTTCTTGATTAGATTAGCAAGGACTCTCTCTCTCGCTCTCGCTCTCGCTCTCGCTCTCTCTTTCTCTCTCTTATTTTTTTTTTATTAACCCAATAGACCTTTTTCAGTTCTACTTTGACTTCTCTGCAGTATCTGATACTTTGATAACTCCCTTTATTATATCATAGTTCCTTTTGTTTTGAATACGTACGCGCATCTTTTTTGTCCTACTTCATTTGTTTTATTATGGTTTGGGGAATCCAACCCCAGATACTGGATATTCTTCAGTGTTTCGATTTTATCGCTTTTTTTAATTATTTATTTTTTAAAGAATGGCAACATCAGTTTAGAGGAACTGTTGTCTTCATTTAGTAATTAAATAATTTACAAAGAGACAGAACCTTTCATCATAGTTGTCACGACCCTTTTCATCTCACTTTATACCCACCCTCTGAACAATTTCATCCATTCTAATGACTTCAGTTATTGCCAAATGTAGATCTTCATCCCTGACCTCTCTTGTGAACACCAGGCATATCTACCTCCCTTTCTACTGGACACCTTCATGTGAATATTCCATCGGAATCTCAAGTTCAAGATGCTCAAAAATAATTCAGCGTTTTATTCCCTAAACTTGCCTTTGTTCTTTTGTTACTCTATTAAATAAATGGTATCATCTTCCGGAAGCCCAGTTGCCCAACCAAAAACGTGGACTTACCTTGAAGCCTGCCTCTGGAATTAACATCATACATTCCCCTCCAGCCACAGAAACCTGCCCAGGAAATTTCTCCACCTGATCCTAATCCTCAAGCCCCTTATATCTAAAATCAAGCTTGCTTGGCTTATGCCTGAGCACCCATGTCCTCACGCCACCAGGTTGTTCACCAGCCACTGATGTAATCACTAACCATCTAATTATCAATAAAATAAATCAGTTTCAGATTTAGACAGTGCTTATGTGAATTTTCTGTTTAATTTTCTCTGTGTCCCACCCTCCCTTGTATTAAATCTCTTTGCAATGGGATATATTCTAGTTCTCTAGGACAGAAAAGTTTGACACCAGCCTGAAATCCTAGATATAGAGGAACAAAGGAAAAAAGGAACTTTCATAAATGTTTCCTTTAAATGATGTGTTCAAACATCCAGGGCTCCCGATTTTATGAATTCGAATGAGGTAAAACTCACCACCTCCACGGTATCGTGACATCACAGCAGTAGCACTCAATAGAATTGGCCTTGGGACGTCCCTACGAACCAGGGGGCCCTGAACTGGCTCGTTGAGATCCTTGTTGACAGCAATGAAAGCTGTGTGGGAGCTTATAACTCCGCAATCAATGCTGACTTTCAACACGTCTTTTTTATCTTTCGCTGGAGTCTCCCTGAAGCCCATGTCCTTGGTCTGGAGAAAGGACTTGGCAGCAAGGCGGTGAATGGTGAGGCTAAAAGAAAAAAATTCCTGTGACTTAGGGAAAAGCACTCACATGCCAGTTTCTTAGGGCCCTCAAAAGTTAGGACAGCAGAGAGAGGAAAAAGCCAGATAAGGGGAGAGATAAAACCTTGACGGCTTAAAAAGGAGAAGCAATTTTAAGAAACAATTGAGCCCAAAATTAAGAGCAGAAAACCAACCCCCAAGGATAGAAGAGACAGACAGAGAGAAAAAGAAGGAAGGAAGGAAGGAAGGAAAGAAGGAAGGAAGGAAGGAAGGAAGGAAGGAAGGAAGGGGCAAAGGAAAACTAAATGCTCACTTGGCATCAAATTTGGGTTGTAGAGAAAATGTCACTTTATTCTCAAAACTCTTGCCCTGGAGGCTGTACTTGAGGCAAACTTCTCCTGTTGCCTCTGCTGGCTACAAATTAGAGAAGAATAGAAATGATGAAAGGATGAGATCACCAAGAGAAATGTCAGAACTGGGGCAGCCCCTACCCCAAAACATGAACATTTCTGACTAGGAACCAGGTAGTTCAGGAGCCCAGAGACCTGGCATGATGGAGAAGTGGGTAGGTTGGCTCGGTCTGGCAAATGCGATCGCTTGATGAGATCCTACGAGCTTTAATGAAATTGTCCAGAGCAGAGTTCAGGGCAGTAGCTACTCTGACTAGAGAAACAAATAAGAATGGAAACTCACCGGCATCGTTCCAGTCAACTGGGCATAGACGATTAACCTCTGACCCCTAAAGATGACAGTCTGTTCTGGGGAAAGCATTTTAGCAGATAGACCAGAAGGCAAATCCCAGCTCAGAGAGACGTCCTCTACTACAGGCTGCAGAGAACGTTTCAGAGCCCTAAGAGCCTAGAAGAAAGAGAACAGAATAAGCACCAAAAATAATAATGGTGACTATAACTACTACTAACTGAATATTTATTATGCATCAAGTACTATGCAACACAATACATGTTCTGTCTATACTAGGAGATGGAGGTTACTACTTTTGCTTTACACACATGAGGAAGCTAAAGCAGAGAGATTCAATAACATAAATGTGAATGAAGGAAATGTCTGGGAAAGGAGACCCTGGAGAAGCAGCGATCAGATAAGAAATGGTACCAAGTGGGAAAGAGGAACTTAGACGTATACCCAGAGGTGGAAGATGTCTTCCCTTATACATACTAATCAAATGGAATATCAATCTGCCATCTATTCCAATCTACCAGACATATTACAATTGTTCTTTCTTGCTTTCTCTGTATCATTTGCATGGAAGATAGGATATGGTACCAAAAGAGGTCCGAAAGCACACATCTAGAATGTCAAATCATGACAGCCAAAATTCTTAAGGATTCTCTCTTTCTGGTTGTAAACACAAAGCCCTAATCTCTTCCAGCATCTTGTCTCTGGGTTTCCAATTACTAGGACTGGATGCCATTTCTCCAGAAACTACACTGGGCTTCTTTTTAAGGCCAAAAGGAGCCCCATTAGTTATATAGCCCAAGGCCTTGGGGATATAAAAAAATGAATCCTGGAGGCAAGTTGCTGCCTCTGCCCTTGCAGCAGTGTGCCCCTTACTCCACACTGGCTCTGCATCACCACTTCCGGACACAGAGTCCGTCCCTCACCTTGGACTGCATCCTCTCCTTGCCCGTGATAAATTCTGACATGCCCCCTGATACCCGGGCAATGCCTTTTATTAGACTGGTGGAGGCTCCTTCTCCAATACCAAACGAGAAGCATCTGCAATTGTAAAATGGAAGTCAGAAACAAGGACTAAAAAGAGTGAAATTATAAAATCAATACATAATGGTTAAAAATGTATAATAGCTACCATTTATTGAGCATATCCTATATTTCGGGAGGCCAAGTGCCTTCAGGTAACGATGCAATTTAGTCTTCACAAGATTCCTAAGAAACAGGCTTATGCTTCATTGTGCAGATAAGGAATGTGGGCACAAAGAATTTTAGAATTCTGTCTAAGATCATACACTACTAAATGGTAGAGATGGCATTTGAGCACTGTTCTGTCTGACTACGTGATTCCCCTGGCAAACCATTATCTATTATACTGATTATAGAACCAGGGAAAAAAATAATAATAATAGAACTACATCCTCATCAATTATTTTAATAATCAATCCAGAAAAAATAGTTAATCAGAAAGCAGGAGAATGAGGAAAAAATAAACAATATCATCAGTGCTTGACTAACTTTGTTCTGGAACCACATCTGCCCTGGCAAGGCCAGTCTTAGGCTGGGAAAGAGGGTCTCCTGCTCTTCTAACCAGAGAGTTCTCTCCCTGTTCTAGTCCATGTGCACCAAATAGCTTTTTAATCACAATCTGGCTTCCCAAATAAAGTTGTCAGTAAACAGAGAACGTGTTGGTGATACTCACACAAGCATTTTAGAAGGCATGACAAGGATAGTTCTCATTGTAAATTAATACTCTGTTATTTTGGCAATTCTTTCGAATTGGGTTAGTGTGAGTCATCAGCCCCAAATCTAGTGACATCAGCATCAGGATTCATGCTCTAAACTTGTAGAGCTAAGAGCCAGACTTGTAATTATGGTGCCCTAACTATGATCATGCTTGCCAGAGACCACAACCTGTCAGCATCTTGATATTGTCACCTTTAAATTTCCAACATGATTTTTGATCTACAGCCTATGTTCTTTATGGCTTATAAAGGGCTTTGACATATATGTTTAAGGGTTTTTTTGTATACAAAACTAAAGGTAAACAATGTTTATTGATGGCTAACTATATGCCTAGAACTTAAGTGCTTCATTGGATAATAATAATAAGGATAATAATTACAATAATGGCAAAAATTTTATATAGTCAATTTTATAAAGCATTAGTTCCTAATGCTTTCCTTAGGTATACGCTTTCAACTTTCACGGTAAATCTGTAAGGCAAGAACTATTACTATCTCCATTTTCAAGTGAAGATACGGAGGCTTACGGAGTTTAGTTGATTTGTACAAAGAGCTGACAAAACGGGAAAACTAGAACTTAAATATATGACTTGTGCCTTAAAGTATAATACCCTAGCAGAGGTCTGCTCACAGCAATGATGGACTAACTTATTCTAAGCCAGTAGAGAACTAGAAAAGAGAACATTTTCAATAATCTTTGAAATCGTCAAAAGGCTACCAAGATAATAATAATTTCTGGGCCAAGAGCTGGGAGAAGAGGGAGGCCAAGAGAGACGAGCCTGGCATCTGCTATCCCTTCACCCCTTGAAGCAAGTGCCAAGTACAAAATGGATGACTGAAAGGTTAAAAAGCTAAGCAGTTTCAGATTTGGGCTTTCCAAAGAGAAGGTGCCCTGGTAGACACTCAGGTTTTTTTAATACCAACCTGTAGATAGATCTACACCCTAGAAGTAGAGGTGAATTTGAAATAAACCAGCCATCGAATGACTGAAGCTCATTAGATTCTAACTGGATTAAGATTATATGTTTCTAGTCTGGTAACCCATCAGAAGCAAAGAGTTAATCCTTTCAGAGGCAAGATATCATCTAGAAGCTCAAAGAATTTCCATAACCTTTCACATAAAATATCTGACAACTAATAAAGAAATAGAAAACACCCAAATATTGGGAAACTATACACTATACCTCCGAATAACACAGGCTTTAAAAATATCATAATAATAATTAGAAAATATTCTCAAGCGGATGCCAATGGAAAATGACATATGAATTTAGGATTTAGCTACAGATAGACTTAAATTTGTAGTTCTAAATACATATCTTAGAAAAGAAAAAGTCTAAAAATTAACTACCTGAGCCTCCATCTCCAGATGTTATAAAAAAAAAAATAGCCAATAAACTGAAAAAATTGAAAGGAAAGAAACATTATTAATACAGAAAACGATTATACAATAGAGAAGATCCATAAACTCAAGTGCTGGTGTTTTGAAAGGATTATTTAAACTGACAAACATTTAGGGCAAGGAAAAAAATAGAGAAGGCACAAATAACCAACATCAGGAATGAAAAGGGAATACTATGATCAATTTTACAAAACTTAATAACATCATACGGCAACATCAGAGACAATGTCATGCCAAAAAAATTTTGAAAATATAGATAAAATATGCAAACTTCAATAATAAACAAGAATATATAAAAATATAAATAGTTCTATTTCCGTTAAAGAGAATTCAAAACCTTCCCACAGAAAAGTCTCCTGGCAACTTAGAGCAAACACATTTTCTTCTAAAAGAAAATCTTTCAGATGATAGAAAAACAGGCAACTCTCCTCAGTTTATTTTATGACGCTAGGATAAAACCCAACAAAAATGTTTTAAAGAAAAATATACATGCCAATATTTCCCATGAAAATAGATGATTAGCCAACTGAATCAAAAAATATATGAATAAACAGTTGAAGGTTAAGAGATCACAACTAATTTGGTTTTATTTCAGAAATGCAAGGTTGGTCTAACATTTAACAACAGTTATTTTAATTCACACATTAAAAGAATAAAGGAGAAAATCACATACTCATCTCAACAGATACATAAAATTTATTTGATAAAATTCAACAACCATTCATTCTTTTTTTTAAAGTAAAAGAATTCTCAAAACGGAACTATAAGGAAAATTCCTTAATCTGACACAGGATATCTACAAAAAGACCTATAGCAAACAATCACACTATTGATATAATGTTAAACAAGTTCCCTCTGAAGTCTAAAATAAGATAAGGATGTCAGCTGTGACTATAAGTCCTTTCCAGGGCAATACAGAAAGAATGAAAAACAAAGATATAAGGTGTGGAAAGGAAAAATTGGCATTATTTGCAGACAAGATTATCCAAAGAATATCTAAGAGAATCTACTAATATAACTATTAGAATTAATATCTACATCAGGCAAGGCCACAGAATACAAAGTCAATATAAATTTAAAAAGCTATCGTAATCCATTTCTATATAGAAATAAATATCCAGTAAATAAAATATTTAAAAGTACTATTTAAAATAGCATCAAACACCTAAGAAAAAATCTAATAAAAAATTCTTGAAGACCTCTACAAAGAGAATTATAAAACATTGCAGAGAAATTTTATGTGTATTATTCAATTAAGGAAACGAGTAAATGTATCGATTTTGTGGGAAACCAGATTTCTTACCATGGAGGAAAAAAGACATAAATAGGGACAGGAGAAAAAAGAGAAAGACTGTTACGTTGTTACCTTGGAAGTACGGGTATTAGTAAAAAATTGAGTTTTTCTTAATCATTTGCCTGTTCTGTCTATTGGACATGCCTAGAATAAATAACAGGCCAATAGCAAAGTTACACCTAATACTCAAATACTGACTTCTACTCATTTTCAGTAAAAGAAACAAGGTTTCTTATAAAAATGGCTGGTTACAGGAACGGGAAAGTACAAGTGAGTCAGAAACATTTTTTAAGAAAGAGAGGAAATATTCGTAAACCAAAGAGACATGAAAAAGCATAAGAGCAAGTTAAAAAGGGCTCCCACTGGCCGAATCTGGAACTTTACTATGGAATATTACTCAGCTATAAGAAAAGGTGAAATACTGCCGTTTGCGACAACATGGATGGATCCTGAGATAATCAATGCTAAGCGAAATAAGTCAGAAAAGTTGAAGACCGCATGATGTCACCCATAAATGGGATATAAACCTAAAAGCAACAAACATGACAAAGAGACTCATGGACATCGACAGTGGATTAGTGATTACCAGAGGGAAGGGAGAAGGAGGAGGCAGATAGGGGTAAAGGGGTCAAATATTTGGTGACAGAAGGAAATCTAACTATGGGTGGTGAACACACAATGCAATATATATACGACAGACTGTTTAATTGTACACTTGAAACTTACTGGATTTAGTTGATCAATGTCACCCCAATAATTTTTAATCAAAAAAAAGGAATGAGAGTAATGAATCTTAGAAAATTGAAAAGTAGTGAAAGAATTTAAAAGTACTAATTGACACAACAAAAGGAAGGGAGGAAAGGAAGGAAAGAGGGAGGAAGGAAAAGCTCTTTTTTATAGCATGATGACAACTAATAAGTATAGAAGAGTTGACAGAATTTAAAAACCACTATTTTGTAACCACTGATATTAATAGCACCTGTGTGAAAATCATCAGTGAATGCTAAAACTGCTGAGTAAATCTTTATTGAGAATAGAATGTTTACAAAATTTCAATGTTATCTGTCAGATCAGAAGCCCCCTTTAACTAAGTGGTCAAACTTATCACTAGGCTCAGTTGCTTTTGGAATATTTTTCCCAAAAATGTTTAACATTAATCTAAATATGAATTTAAATAGTCAAACATAAATTGAGATTCCACAAAAATAACTAGCTAGTCTTCTTTCAAAATGTCAGTCTCATGAAAGGTAATGAAACACTGAGAAATTATCCCAGAGAAGAAAAAACTAAAGACACATAATAATGAAATAAAAGGCTTGTTCTTGGATTTGCTCCTGGAACAAAACCAAAACAAACAAACAAAAATATATAAATAATATTATTAGAAAAATTGGCAAATATAACCTGTATTTAGATAATGGTGTTATTCTCAACATTAAATAAATATTGTGGTTATTTATCAGGATGTCCTCTTCTTGGAAGATGAGCGCGTAATTATTTGTATACAAAGGGTTATGATATCTGTGGCTCAAATATTTCAGACAAAAAATAGGTGAAGCAAGTGTAGTAAAATGTTAATAACTGGCAGACCTGGGTGAAAGGTATGTGTGTGCTACTCTATTCCTACAAGTTCTCTATAGGTTTAAATGTTTGAAATAAAATATTGGAAACACACATTTAAAGAATCTAGAAAAACCTAAATAAATGGAAGGATATACCATTTAAATAGACTGGAATACTCAATAGAGTAAATACTAAATTCTCCCAAAACTGATCGATAAAAGCAATGCAATTCTAATCGATATCCCAATAGTTTTCCTTTTTGGTAAAAATTGACAAGCTAATTCTAAAATACAAACACAAAGTGTCAAGAATAGATAAAGACAATCTTGAAAAAGAACATAGTTGAGGACTTACTCTATTGGAAATTAAGATTTAACAGCTAGACCAAAGTCCATCAGCAGTAGAATCAATCAATAAATTATGGTTTAATCATCCTATGGAATACTATATACCAATGAAAATTAACTATGGTTCCATGCAAAACACGTGTGAATCTCAATATATTGCTGAGGGAAAGAAGCAAGATACACAGAAACTAAAACATACTGGATAATATTTATTTTTATTCAAAAACAAACATGTATAATCCATGGTGTTGTAACTCAGGGAAGTTATTTCCTTTGGAGAGGAAAAAATGAGTAGTAATTAAATTTGGGACGTGATGGAAAAGGGTAGAGACGGACAGCTACTGGTAATATTCTAGTTCTTGACATGTGTGGTTATTACAATGTGTGATCACTCTGATAATACATCTAGCTATATACTTACGATTTGCATTGTTTTCTATATGTTTTACTTTGACAAAAATGTTTACACTAAAAAAAAAGTCTCACTATTCAATACTTGTTTCCATCGTTTTAGAGAGAATAAAGGGCAATATCTCTTATTATGTTATTGATGTTATTTAGAAAAATCACTCTTATCTTTTAGTAGAGAGGGAAAAATGATGTCGAAAAAAATTGTTAGGGGATAAACTAAAATTCTTGAATCATTCTGTCCTCTGAAAGGAATGTCAACACTGGAATCATGCATGTGGCACTAGATCACATGTGGTACTGCTTGGGTCAGTCACCTAGAAATCACATTTTCGTCATACCTGTGCCTCAGACTGTTGATCTGAACTTCTTTAATTACACTAAATGTGTCGGTAACTTCTCCATCTGTGAAGACAAAAAGCTAAAGAAAGAAGACATTTGTCAAGTCTCTATGAAGTTCATTTTTAAAATACCAGAATTTGCCCTTAAAAAACCCAGCTATTTCATTCCAGAGACTCCGATGCCTCTTCAGACAGGTGTGAGATCCTGAATGATCCACTGTCACTTGCACCATGTTCTCAAACGGTTTGTTCAGAACGCTAGGAATTTTCATCACCTCCCCCTACTAACTGGCACTCCACAAGAGAACTTCCACCGTCCGCGCACCACAGCATGAAGCTAAGGAGAGGAATTCTATCAAATGCCTCTTGTCTTTTCCTCTTTACTACACGATAGACAACTATATTTCATTGACCCTACAGTGAAGTCCAAGACTATGGATTCTTGGACAGAGATTTCATTCTCTCTGTCCCCTTCTGTTAGCTCAGTTTCAGTTTTTACCTGCAGAGGGTGGCCCGGGATGGAAGGTCCACTGTAAATGTTCCTGAGTGGTGTCAAGATTTCCGTGCCCCCTAAGTCAGCCCGCATAAGCTTAACTCTCCTCAGTGCCTCATCCATGGTACGCTGAGTGTACTTCACACTACGACTGAGAAAAATGAACACACTCAGTGACACAGTACTCGACACTGCCCAGTACTGAGTTCCTGAAATGAGATACTTCCACATGAGGTAAACAGCCTCACCTGAAATCCCCAGTGCCAAAGTCAATGGTACAGTAACCCCTTTAACCATCTAGTCCTTTTTTTAGAGTATCTTTTTGGACTCTGTATGGCTGTTCTAGAAACTTACTGAAAGAATGGCTCATAGCAAGATCCAAATCCATATACGTTGAAATAACAGCCTACAGGCAAACTCTTCAGCAGCAAAATCAGTGTTTCCTGGAGGAAGAGAGTACAAGGAGATGGTGAGAGGGTCCTCTCAGACACACAGACTCTGCCAATCTGACTCTTGAGGGTGTGGGCCTTTACTCTTTTTGTGCTTCGAGGCCCTTATATGCCAATGCTAGCCTCAGAGTGGTCATGGAATTCTATCAACTGAAGCTCAGGTGGAAACAGACCCAAATTTCCAGATGGACCCTACTTTAACCCCTGAGATTCATCCCTACTTGAAGATGTCACAGAAGAAAAAAGAAATGAGCTAGTCTTACCTTGGCCGCCTCTATGCGTAGCTGAGATTTATCCTGTTTACTCATGGGGCCTTGCATACTTCCTGAGCGGTCCATGAGGAATACAAATTCTCCACAAGTAATTGGTGGCTGAGCTTCTGGGATGTCCGGGTAGAAACTCACCATTGCAGATGGCTCTCCCATCAAACAATCTACTTGGAAAGGATAAGGACACTGTACAATGAAAAGGAACTCAAGAATGCATACTAAAGACGCCAAGAATCAATTGTCCTGAGTTATACAGGAAGCTGAGAAAATCCAAATCTAAAACCCCGTTTGATTTTTATATCATATCTGCTGGCAAAGGGTTTGAGGTGAGTTATAAACATACAAAAAGATACAGAAGCAGCACAGATTAAAAAAAATAGAGTAGAGGTTATCAGGCACAAGCAATAATTAAAATACTAAAATTGGATGCTAGTTTTCTAGCAGCTATGCAAATAGTGAAATACATTAAGTTAAAATGTTCCAGCAATTGTCAGAAGAATCAAGCTAATTTATTGGCAGACACGTTCTTTTCAAATCAAATCAATGGGAAATTTATCACATAGGTCCTCGTTTAAATCTTTAATTACAGCTTTGAAAAAAAATCTCATATGAACAATTCTCATGTTGACAGTTTATAAGAGCTGAAAGTATGTCACGCACACCAAGGAAAGTCATCTGCTTTTGTTATGAAGCACTGGCTTATACTCTCCAGAACAAAGGAAGAGAAGCACTGGGATGTGTGTTGAAACTCTAATAGCATTATCCTTGATTTTGTTTTGAGGAGCAAGGGAAAACTGACACAGGAATCGAAATGTGAGTATTAAGATAAAGATGTAATGAGAATGGCTGGTTCACATCCACTCGAGATCCACAGTTCAGAGACTATAAGAAGACATAGAATCTAATCCTAATATCCTATTTTTATAGTGATTCAGGATTACAGGTTTAAATTCTCAGTAGCCCTGAGATTCAGTGTGACTACGGGACCTGGCTCAGCTTACTCTCACTCACGGGATACCTCAACAACGAAACCGCTTTCAAATAGAATGGGTGAGGCTCAAGAAATAATTGATAGCACATTGGTTCAAAAATAACTTTTAAATAACCCAGATCTCTGCATAGATGGTAGAGGAGCAGCTTTTTTTAATGGGTAAGGTAGGCTCCTTTCGATCTTGAGAGAGCTGGGTGTAGTGGGACTGTCACTGTACTGATATGTCAGAAAGGTCGCGATGAGCATGAAATAAGCTGACCTATCTAAACTGCTCAGAACAATGCCAGACATACGGTAAGCACTACAAATGTGTTATTTACTACAATTCTTTTGGCTTGGCTCCAATTATTTTCACCTCCACAAGTTTCTGCTCCCTCATTTTTAAATGAGGCATTTCGAGCCCTGGCTCTTCTGCTCGCTAGCTTCAGGTTCCTCATTTAAAAAATCAAGGTAATTAATAACTATCTCAAGATTATTGTAAGGATAGTGACATAATATGCTTAAGAAACTCAATCTAGGGCTCAGCTCAGATTAAGTTCTTAACAATTTTGTAAACTTATTTATGAGTTGTTTTCATACAATTATTTGTATTAAATTAAAAATATATATATTTTAAAGTCATGTTCTTAATATGGTAAGTACAATCTAAGTTTTATTTTATTTTTTTATTAAATTTATTGGGGTGACATTGGCTGATAAAATTACATAGGTTTCAAGTATACACTTCAATAATATGTCATATATATTGCATTGTGTGTTCACCACTCAAACATTCTAAGTTTTAGAAAAATCTATTTTGCATTTTTCAGCATGCAGTGGTGTATTTCATCTGGTTTTAGTGAGCCAAGCTGCCAGTTGTCATTTATTTCTTTGTATAAATGAGAACAGCAAGTCACCTTCACCAAATATATGATCTGGAAAGCAAGATGTGAGCAGCCCTACTGCGGGGGATTCATGAGACTCATAAGGGCTGCCCCAGCTGTCCCACGACGGCCTGCAGAGCTGGTCATAGGGAACAGATGAGGAAATCCGCACAGGGGCCAGCGGAACGTCTCGGAAGGAAAGGGACTGAGACCTCAATCCTTACCTTTTAAAAGCCAACATTTTAAAACTTCCTCTGGTGGATTAAAATAATCCTGATGGAAAACCAGGTCACTGTTGAGGAAGTATTTCATGGGCATCCAAGGGGAAACTCACCGAAAGGGAAGGACGGAACCACGTAACTAAGGTACAAAGACAGAGCACAGAGCTTCACGGAGGAGGGACTGGAGCAAACCTGGCTGAGGTTGGGAGCCTTTCTCACAGTTTAGCATGGGCAGTTTGCCCTGAGGGGGAAAAAATGGTTGAACAGGTGAGGGCAAACTAAAAAGTTCCAATTTGTGACCTCAAGTATGACGCTATCTTGGCCAAACATTAACAATGAGAGAGAAAGATGGCCTACTGAAGACCAGCTATAGGGAACTGTCTTTATAGTAGCTGCAGTTGGAGAAATAAGAGCCTAACCCAGGACACGGCCTTTGACTATGATTATTCACAAGGATGCTTCCATTCCGCTAACATGGCAAATGCTTCAGAAGTGACAGTTTCTCTCCAGTTACGCATCACGGTCCCTACAATCCAGGGGCATGGCAGCCCAGGAAGGCCCAAGACAGCAACAGACTGACATGGATTACACCAGCTATAATTACAAGAAAAAGTACACACATATTAAGGAAATTTTAGAAAATCAGAGAAATTAAAGAGATTTAAAAAATTAAACCAAGAAACTAAACTTAGTCTTAAAAATTAAGAAACTAGGGTAAGATAAAAAAGCTCTGGAGATGGCTGGTGGCAATGGTTATACAACAAGGTGAAAATACTTAAAGCAACAGAACTATATAATTAGTTATAAAAAAGATCAAAAAAAGAACTCTAGGTGAGATTACAGGTTGATGTGATGAATCAATCAAAAAAAGTTATTTATTAGGTAAAAAATAAATTAGTAAAGTTAGTCTTAATCTAATCACAATTACTACTTGTAGACTTCCTGTGGTTTTAAATGTTTTTCTTAATGTATAGGTTATTTTCTAATAATAACCTGTCTTTATAACCTATTTTTATTTTACTTAACATTCTTTGGAAGCCTTTTTTCCGTATTATTTTAATCTGTCAATATACATCATTCTAGTAGCTATATAATAACTCATCAAGCATACCTAGCATAGTTGATTTAGCTACTGCAAGACATTCTGATTGCTTATTAATCTTTGATATTGCTAAAATACATAATTTTACCTATATTTAGATTTATTTCCTTAGGAAGATTGTCAAAATTGCAATTACCAAAATGAACATTTATTTTGACATATTATGACCACATTTCATCTCCAAAGTTTGATACCAAATTATTTTGCTTCAAGCCATCTATGAAAGTGCCAAATGAAGCATTATCGGATTTAGAAAACTGATCATTTGAAAAGTGAAAATGTCACATCATTATTTTTATTGTACTTTTATTTGCTCTCATAGAGACTGATTTGTCATATGTTTGTAAATTAGCTGTGTTTCATCTTATGAATTATTTGTTCATGTCCTTTGTCCAGTTGTCTACTGATTCACTTAAATTTGCCTATAATCCAGATAATCACAGGATATTCCTTGACCCAAACCACTTTTGCATGCCATCGTGTAAGCTATTTACCCACTACTGGATAGAAAGAAAAATGAGTATAATTTGAGGGTAACTCCAAGATAGGAGTTACCCCTTAGGAGGTAAGTACAAAGGAAGAAAGAAAATACCTGCGTCTGTTGTAGATTTTCCCATCTCCACAGCTACACTGGGGGTATGCACCTCATTGTAGTAAATCAAGAGTTCCACATCACGATCAAATTTGTGTCCATCGGCCAAGGAAATCTGAGTTAGAAATAGGCAAAGAAGCCATGTTAGCACTATCACTGCTTGCTGTCTGGGGCTGAGGTTGGGGCCGAGGTCAGAGCTGAGAGCTACGGCTTCTTCCACGAGTGGGCGTAATAATCAGGGGCAGGGGTGAGAATGGAGAAGAGGCTCTGGAGATTGCATGGGGATAAAAAAGGAGCACGGTATGACATCTTCTGGGTTAACAGGGAAAAGTAAGGAACATTTAGGGAAGACTGAGTGAAGAACAAGATCAGGACCTAAGAATAGGGGTGCTGGCCACAACAGGGGGTTCTCTTATTGATTACCTGAGCAGAAGTCTTATCATCTCCAAGGTACTCAATGGGACTCAAAGGACAGTTGCATTGGATCCTCTGAATGCCATACTGGGAACTGATGGTGGCAACCATGCTGAGCGTGTAGGGCAGGTCCTCCAAAGGGACAACAGGAGTCTTCATTTTAAGGCAACTGTCCTCAGGCCATCCTACAAAAAGTTGCCCGAGTTGTGTTTTCCCTTGCCATACTTTTTAGCACCCTTACAACCTGGAGACTTCCCCCAGTTGTGTCCCTCACCTCCAGTACTCAAAGAGAGCACATACTCACCAGAGAGCTGGTACCGAGGATTCAGGATGGCTGGGAGCACATAGCGCAAGGCCCCATCTGCTTCCAGGGGCAGCTCCTGCACATACTTCAGGGTGAGTGCTGCCTTCGAGCCAGGGCGGAGGTTCCCCACATTGCAGCAGAAGACATCCCTGGAGCACTTATCCTCCTCCAAGAGGAAGGCTTGTTGGCCCTGGCTGATGGCATTCTCATAGTTGGTGTGGGCCTAGGGAGAAGAGGGAGAGAAAGGTAATATCAAAGGTGACATAGCTGATAAAGAAACGAGTGTCACAGAAAACAAAGACTGGTAAGGAGGGACTGTGATTGTTCTTGCCAAGTTCACAGATATACTTTAAATGCTTCTGCTTGATTCTTCCCTCCAAATGCTTTTAGGAAAATAGCGGCTAGAGGGGAGTAGAAGAAAAGCATTCAACGTCAGCATATTTTTGTAAAATTGCATTTGCTAGAGATCCTAAAGGGAAAAAAGAAAAAGATAATGTACACATCCCTAGTACCTTCATCTTGTCCTGTAATTCTGCCATAATTTTCTTCCCATCCACCATGGCCTCAAAGCTATAGACAGCTGAGTCTTCATCCATGGGGAATACAAAGAAGGCCTCCAAAGGAACTTTCTCCTCATTTTCATAGTTTAAAGTAGCAGACACGCCAGCCACAAACTCACAAATGGACAAGGTCACAGAGATGCTCTTCAGTGGCACTGCAGATAGACCGGAGTTCGAGATTAACTAGTAGAATGCCTCCTGCAGGCCAGGCATTGTGCTAGGTGCCAAAGATACAATGGCGAGTGAGAGTCACACGTACGAAGACAAGATCAAAGTTAAAATACAAAAGTAGTAAAATTAACTATAACTACAGTAAGTAGGGGATACACAAAATAAAAAGATGTAAAATATAATTAAAAAACATAAAATGGGGAGATAGTAAAATTGTAGTGCTTTTATAATGCAATCGAACTTAAATACCTATCAATTTCAAATAGACTGTTATATATATAGGTCAATATTTATGAACCTATGGTAACCACAAACCAAAAACTTATATATATATAGATAGATCTATAGATATAGATATAGATATAGATATAGATATAGATATAGATAGATATAGATATAGATATAGATATATATTCAGAGGGTTAATGATGGAGCTAGGAAGAAGAAAAAAGCTGAAAAGAATGAGACAAAGGTGCCAATAGTTAGGTCCCCTCTAAATACCAGACCTAAGTACCCACTAAACAGGAAATGTCTGAAACACCCTAAGGCTGGTTCAAACATGAGCTCCACTTCTTCAAAAGTATATTTAATATACCACTCCTTAGGTATAGTCAATAAGTATAATTAACTTAACCCCTCTGAACCTCAGTATTCTTTCTAAAATGAAAATCGTACCTATACATCATATATGTATACATGAATTAATAAATATATAGTCCCTAAAATGGTGCCTGGTCTATGGAAAGCATTTATTCAATGATGACAGACATTAGTATTGTTCTTAATAGTGTCGTTAGTGTTGTTAAGTAGAGTTTGGCTGTTACTTTGGATCATACTCTTCAGAGACCTGCACATAAGAAGCTGCCTGATCCAAAATGGACCCCTGCAAATTAGATCACTTACCTTGTGACGTTTCCTTTGGGGAACGTCAATTGAAACCAGTTTGTTTTCTCTGTCCAAGATATTCATATATCACATATGCAACATGTCTTCTATTTTAAATCAGGCCATCCTAAACATATCTTCCAAATTTTATTATCTTAGACAACCATTTCATGTGGTATGGCAACAAAGGGATACACTTATGTACCTAGATTATGATTTACATCATGATTCTTTTATACAGAGAATCAACAGATGGGTCTGGTCCTAGCCATCGGCCCTAATACTACTGGAAGCTGCCCTCTATCTATTCTGAACTGAGTCATCTGTGAGCTTGCCTCTCCCTGTTCTGTCAAAGGGTGACCTGAGCTGTGATCTCCAGCACCAATAAGGGGGATTGTCACTGAAAATACACTTTAAGGAGCTAAAGTGGAATTTCCCGGTGCATAGAGAATGCTGAAGAAAAATGAAACTAATGTGCTTATCCGGAACCCCAGAGGCGAACGAGTTACTGGGAATCCCAGCCATCACTGAGGAACCTACAGGACTATTTACAGGGCCCTCTGTGCTCATCCAAATCGCCATGTAAAACATCATAGCCCACCCCAATGGCCATGTTTGCTCAACTGACAGCATGGTGTTTCTTACACACCAGGCCCCTCCCCACAAATCAGCACCGATGAATCAGGCTTTTTGTTTCGTGTCTGTTTTTCTTTCGAGGAAATGGATAAAAACAGATTGTGGCAAAATGGCTCACATCGAGTAGAAGAAACACAGGGGGCAGTCGTGGCAATAGGGAGAAGGGTGGCTGCTCAGGAAAAGGGTTTCCACGCAGACACTTGATGGCCTAAGTTCTCTGGTAAAACAGGTTGGAGCTGGGGAAGGGCAGCAGGGAGCTTAAAGCAGGAGAAGGACAAAGGACACAGAAATACAACAGCTGAAGAAACTGTGTCAGGGAACCAAATCTTCAAGGTCTGCAGTACTCACCAAGGCTGGCTTTCAGGTGAAGAGACAGAAGCAGAGGGTGAGCGTCTCCTACAAAGAAACAGGCTTCTTTCCCGATTCTAACCCGAGAACAAATCCCTTATTGAGAGACGTTTGCACCTCTTCCCCACCCTCCCCAGGACAAATTAGGCTGGGTCGGCATAAGTTCTCCCTCCCTCAGGATGGCATTTCAGAAATGCTCCTAGCAACAGGTAGGCAGACTGGCCACGACGGCTGACCAAGATCGAGGCCTTGAATCTGAGGCAGCTGGGAGAACAGAGGACGGATCATGGGGACAGGGGTCTGCACGTTTCTGGACCCATAGGTCCCAGGAGTCTGGGCTTGTGCGATTCCCTCCCCGCAGGGAGAGAGAGGAGCCGGCCAGCGCGGGATGGCGCAGCTGCCACACCCCGCAGCCTGTTGCAGGGGAGAAGTGGAGAACCCGCGATCCAGCCACGGGGGCAAGGAGTGGGCCTTGGATAGAAACGGAGAGTGATTTAATCTTTAATTTTTCCTAGATTTTCCAAGTATTAACCGAAGGGATCAGAGTCAGTTCGTTGAATTTCTGTGTAGAAGGAATTAAGGGGTGCAATCCGATTTGGGTTGGGGGTAGGAAGTGAGGTTTTAAGTTCCATTTCCACAGCACAAAATTACATAAAATGGAGGATACACCCATTGTCCATACGCCAAAGGTGGGGAGGGGGAGGAGGAGGGGGAGGCGGAGGAGGAGGGGAATGAGGAGAGGGAGGAAGGGAAGGGGAGAGGGAGAGGAAAGGAGGGAGAGAGGGAAGGAAGGAGAGAAAGAGAGAGAGAAGGGGTGGGGGGAGAAGGAAAGTAAAAGAGAAGGGAAGTAGGAAGAGGGGCTTTGAGATTATTAGGAGATGGCTAAGTCCCCCTTCCAGCCCCCATAAAATTCCCCTAAACTGCCAAACCTGCTGACACTCCCTGGGGATCACACGCCACAACTAAATTCTCCACCTATGCGGTAAAAAAAAAAAAAAAAAAGGAAAAAGCCCCAACAGATTTAGAGACGGAGAAAGGGAATTAGAATGGGCGGGTCTTAGTCCTCGGGGATAAAGGGTGAGATCCAGCCCCAGCGCGCGGGCAGCGTGGTCACCTACCTCCTCCCGCAGTCCAGAGCCTCTGAGGCACAGCCAGGGGAAAACAACTGCAGTCAAAATTTCCTGGAAGACCCGCCCCCTTCTAGGGACCGGTTATAAAGCAGCGACTACATGAGTAAGGGATCGACGGGAAATTCCTAAGTAAATATTCTAATATTCGCTTTTCTCTGGGTCAAAGGGAAGGGTTTTTTGGGGGGTGTGTGTGTGTGTGTGTTTTTACGTGAAAATGCCGTAATGGTAACATCGACAACGACATCAAAAACTATATATTTCTGTAATAGACTTAATTACCAAGGGCTTACTGTGTGTATTAGGCCTTGCTAATAATTCTGTGGGCTAGGCTCTGAACTTTATGGGCTTTATCTCAGTGACTTCCCAACTCTAAGTTGAGTCTTTTGTCCCAAGATTGTATCCTCCTTACAAAATGGGAGGAGGGAGAGGGGGTATTAGGAGCCAGGACAATGCACACAGGGCCCAAGTCTTCCAGTCATGGGTCATTTGTGAGTTTTTCATCCGGATCTTAAATCAAGTCTTGGCGGGTAACATGTTAGTAACTGAGAATCTCTGTGCTCGTTTTCCTGGCTAAAGGACACTAGAAGTGATGAAGTTTCCTACGTCTTTTCTATTTTAAAATGACCTATCAAATCTGAGGCTTAAAGAAAGAGTCGTATTGCTGTTGAGAATCTGTATAGGGGAAAGAATATATGTATTAAAGACAGCTTGATTTTGACCTCTGCAGTGTATTTATTGTGGCACATTTACTCTCTGAATTTGTTCTCTTATCTCTAAAATAGGGATAATGACTACCTCCCTAGGTTATTTTTAAAAATCCAATGACTATTAATAGATGTGGGTTTGATGACATATATATATATCATCACACCCACACACATATACACATATGCATATATAATAAAGCACAACTTAAGCACAAATTCTATTTTATCAGTACTAGGCCCTAAGACCATGTTTTTTACATGTATCAAACTAACTGCGAGAAGGAATAATTCTTTTATCTTCGTAGAAATCACATCTGGTATTGTTTCTTGTGGTTGCAACTTTTTTCTGTTGGCTGAAGTATCTAGGCAATAATAGGGAAAAGGTGGAAAAGTGGACAGAGTTCATCATTTGATCCACCTGGACTAAAGAGGTTAGAACTAGAAGTCTGCCACAACCCAGACATGGCAGCTTGGTTAGAAAGAACTGAATCAGGAAACATATGCATGAAGCTGGTTATTGGAAGGGCAATTATGTGAAAAGTCTCTGAACCTGGCACAATACATACAATGAAAAAAACTTTTATAGCTATTAAAAAAGTGAATGCATTTTATTTATCTGTTTATTCATATTTTGTTTTATACAATGAATAACTTCACTCTTTTCATATAAACTATTTGATTAAGCCAATGGTCAAACTTTTGAAAGAGAAACACATAATTCATTCTTTTAGTCGGCATCTATTTATTGGGCTTCTGCTATATGCAAGGCATTGTTCTAGGCATTGCATCATGGCCATAACAAGACACGAAAGAATTTACTCACCTGGAACTTACATTACAAGGGGAGGAAATATTTAATAAACAAATAAATAAACAAGAAAATAAACAAATAAACAAGAAAATATCAGTAGTGAAAGCGCTTAAAGAAAACAAAACACATAGTATAATGAAGAATGGATAGAGGCTATTTTAGGTTAGGTATCTCCACCCAAAAATTTGTCCTCGTGAGTTCACATTGCTAAGTATTCTCCAATATTGATTCTCAAGTTCAGTCCAAGTTTAGCCAACTTTGTGGTCATTCAGAATAAAGACGTTTCCCAGCCTCCCTTAAAGCTAGGTGCAACCTTATGACTAAATTCTGGTGCATGGGATACAAGAAATGATGTTTGCAGCGCCACAGCACACTCTTCGAAAGAAAAGAGCATGGCATCCCCTCCACTTTCCCCTCTTCCTACTTACTAGTAGGAATCCAGATATATTCTGAGCCATTTCGAACCATGAGGACTACAGTGACAACCACAAAGAATGGAGAAGTAACAATATAGAAGGATCCTAAGTCCCTGAGGCTTTCATGGAGTAGAACCGCAGTGTTAGTGCAGACTTTTACATAAGAGAGTAATGAATTTCGATAAGATTTGTAACAGTCATTTAGGCTTTGTGCCACACAATCCATATCCTACCAATACCTGATTATGATCAATAAAAAGAATAAACTTTTAAGGAAACTCTCTTTTTTGAATATGAAAAGCATATCTGCATAAAATGGAAAAAGATCTGTACGTTATGAGAACAGTATTCAACTCATATCGGCATCCACCAATGTCACACATATACCCTGAATTATGCCAGTGTATGTTAATCATGGAATGCTGCTTATTTTCATCTTGTTCTTCCGAGAGTTATTTCCCTTCCTGAAATAAGAGCTATTTGTGTTACCACATGGAATACTTAGCACTGGTTTGGAACAGGCTTTCAGTAAGTTCTTTTGCTTATCCTCTAGTATGATGCTATTCTCTCTCTCTCTTTATCATCATGGAGTTTCATTAAAGTCTTATGTTCTGTTTCTTGTTTCTCCCCTGATATTTCCATAGCAATTTGTCTAAGATTTCCTATCGTTCCTATCATACTTCAGCCCTTCATGTATTCTTAAAACTTGTAAACCTTTAAGTAAATAAATACCCAAATGCATTAAATGATTTGATTAATGAATAAATGCATATAAATGATGATAGTTGTATATACTCTTATGCTTTATGATTGCCATTCACTGTAAATATTGTAAGAGAAATTTCAAAAACAAAAAGTGTCAGAAATATACACAAGTCTCATAAGCATTTTTTACTTGACATACTGGTAATAGCAATTAGAAATAATAGCCGTCATTTTCACATGATCACTGGTAACTTACAAACTTTATGTTTGGAGCGATCACATGAAAACTGAGCCCAACAGAAATTTACCACAGATGAATAGATAATAGATAAGATAGACTGAACAAAAGTATCTAGCTACTATATACTGAGTTCTTATTAGAAACCAGTGCTAAGTATTATTCATGGTAAAACAAACAGCTTTAATTTCA